GCGAAATTATGTTATAATTGCTTACGTTCCCATCGTGGGGCACCGTGTAAATTTTCGTGTTGCACAATATGTCAGAAACGTCACAACACCCTCTTACACGACGAAAATCGAACGAACAATGCGAATCTTACTAATCCCGCGGCGGTCGAATCTAAATGACTATATGAACTAACTGACCACCGCGCGACGAGTCTCGCGACCACACCGCGCCCTTATTCACAGCTTTTGACGAGCGCATTGATATTTATACACGGCTCTGAGCATGATAATCACAACAGCATTAAATGTCGAGCACTCTTGGATACATGCTCTACGGCGAATTTTATATCAGAATCCGTCGTGAGACAGTTGAATATACAGATAATCAAAAAACCATCAACGATTAGCGCAATCAATGCCGTCAGCACTGTTTCGAGGGGCGTGGTGCGGATCACTATACGATCGTTATGCAAAAATTTCCGCAAGGATTTAACATGTTTAACGATATCGACGATCACGGATCTAGTACCAGCGGAAGTCTTTCCACGAGATACACTGAAATTACCGCGAAACGTTAAATTGGCGGACCCTGAATTTTATTTACCGCGACCCGTCGGGTTGTTAATAGGCTCGGGCGCGACCTTGGCTTTACTGGCCGACGGTCGGATCGATTTATCTAACGAAGGATACGATTTGCGTCTTCAAAATACACGCTTAGGTTGGGTGATAGCCGGCGGAACATCCCCACAATTATCGTCAGAAGGCACATATTGCATGATGAACTTAGACAGTCAATTAACGAAGTTTTGGTCGATAGAGGAAATCACAGGAAACGAAACAAAATCGGAGGAAGATTCCGACTGTGAAGCACACTTCGCGAATACCGTTTCGCGCTTTCATGACGGGCGATACGTAGTTCGTTTACCTTTTCGCAAAACAAATAAGGTTCTCGGTGAATCCAGATCGATGGCATTCAGACGTCTGTTATCTCTAGAGCGCAAGCTGAGCATAAACACGGTTCTAAGAAACGAATACGAGCGGATCTTCAGAGAATACTTACGGCTAGGACATATGTCATTAATTCGCAATCCGGACGATCGCGGTTATTACATGCCTCACCACGCGGTAATGAAGGAAGCGAGCGATACTACTAAGGTCCGGATAGTGTTCGACGCGTCAATGAAATCCAGTTCCGGGATGTCCTTAAATGACTTATTAATGACAGGTCCCACAATACAAGCAAAATTATTCTTACACTTGATTCGCTTCCGTGTGTACGAGTATGTGATCTCTGCTGATATCGAGAAAATGTATCGCCAGGTGATATTACACGAGGACGATCGACGATATCAGCGGATCTTGTGGCGCGAGGGCGGCATAGTTAAAACATTCCAACTTAACGTTCTCACATTCGGTATTTCCTCCTCTCCGTTTTTAGCAATCCGCGTGATTAAAAAATTGGCTGATGACGAACAAGAAGCCTTTCCTAGAGCGGCAGAGATTCTCAAATCTCATCTTTATGTAGATGACCTATTGACCGGCGCTGAATCCATCGATGAGGCCCGTAGGATTCGAGTCGAGGTGACCGAATTATTGGCGCGCGGCGGTTTTGTTATTAGACAGTGGGCTTCCAATAACGAACGCATCATAAACGATTTGGAGGCCA